CATCATATTTGGAATGTAAAACAGCAACCCAGCTGTGAATAAAAAAATAAAGCTGTAAAATAATAAAACCGCGCTTTATTATTTAACAGCTTTATTATTTTACAGCTTTCGCTATTCAATCAAATAAGTTGAATCAAGGATTCTTCAAAATTCGATCATTGTAAAATATCAGATTTAAGAGTTTACCTCAACTCAGAATGTTACCCTTATGAGGATATGAATTTATCTTTTGAAAAAATCATTATAGTACTGATTTTGATGCCTATACTGATTTCTGATCCAGTTATTACAATTGCAATATAATAGAACCTTCATTATCGTGAAGCCAATTTAAAGAACAAGCTGCAATAGATACACGATTTCAAAATGAGAATTTGAAGATGGGGCCGATTGATGTTAAAATTGAATTGAAAACTTCAGATAAAATGCCGGCAAACACTACAGCTTATTGTGTTATATTGAATGATCGATTAGTCGAATTAACACCTTTAACTGGAGAAGTTAATAAAGTAATTTAAATACCTATACATTACAGTTTAAAATAAAGATGTATATAAATAATAATGTTATCATATACGTGAAAGGTGACGAAAAGAAAAATTGGATTAATGAAATTTTAAAGCATAGTAATACATAAGATTTGGGTGACAAACATGATTCAACAAGTTTAAAAAATTTAAAAAATCAGCATTGTCCAAAAAGATGTTCTAATAATCATATTGATATGTGCACTTTTGAAAATGTTTACTTAATAAAACTGCTGATCTAATCAATTTTGGAGTATTTAAGAAATGAGTACAATGAAAAGTTGTTCATTCAGTTACTCTGTTTACAATTATCAATATTAAAAACAAAATCATTATGGACAAAATTAAAAATTATTTTACCAATAAGAGGTACACTTATGATAAATTAGCAAACACTTCAACTGATTCCGCAAAGGAGTGGAAACAAGATATTAAAAAGGAGATCAATCAGAAAGCTAAACATATAATAAAAATCTAATGATCTAATAAAAAACATCTAAAATCAATCAGCAGTAAAACATATTAAAAATAAATGATTATATTTTTATTTATATGATAATAAAATTAAATAAAAACTAATTCACACTCGTAACGTGGTGCTGTGTTATAAATAAAACTAATTCTAGTCGTAACGTGGCGCTGTACTATCAATCATACTTTAAAAAGCTTACTTCTATTTTCATCATTGCATACGCCTCGGGTGACACTCCTGCTTACTTTTACATAAAACAACAACCAAATCACCCAAGACAACAACCATATTACATACATTATTGCATCCCTTTAAGATAACACTTACACCTAGAACTCCCATATATTATTGCATACCTTTAATGGCATTGTATTTAACCTAATTCAGGACAATTCCCTCGAATAAATATTCCCCTCGTAATTGGGACTTGCTAGATAGAAAGACATTACTTGAAGTCTTTATACCGTGATGTGGAACGTTGATCACGATATAATTTTATATTTCCTTTTTCAATACAACTTTAATCAATAATTATAACTTAGAAACAATGTTTTCATATTTAAACTATTTTATATTTACAAAATGTTTACATGAAAAATGAAATAATTATAATTCACTCTATTGTTCCAATAAAGTTTCATTCGACACGAAACTTTCAAGTAAATAATCCAATTAAATATAAAAATAATGTAAGGGTTATAATATTAATTATTATCAAGAACTTATAATAAGCTGAATTATGTTTGTAACATGAAAATAACTCCAAAAGCTAAAGTGAAATATTTAAAATTAGACAAAAATAAAGTTATGTCAAACCAATGGTTTGTATTATAGCACGTCTCCCTTCAATAATTGATAATACTGCTTTTAAATACAGTCTATGTATACCTACCACACTATTAAAATTATTTTCATTCATATACGTAACTGTTTCTAGGATTGCATATATTTAGGATGAACGATTTATGCAATCTTTAAAATAAAACAAAAATTAATATAAAGAGGGGTTAACATAATGCTTCTTCCTAAAGTATCTTCTACTATAGTTAGTATAGCTTCTACTAAAACATGGTAATCTGCTCAAAACTCTAAGAGCCAAGAAACCATAAAACATGTGAAAATTTTATCCTTGGACCCACAAACAAATTCAAAAAATTTTCCCTAAAATTACAATGTAAGTTAATACGTCGGATTAAATATCCCGATTTAGTAAAAATAATTTAAGTGTTTTAAAGTAGCATAAATATCGAAGCGGCAATATTCCTAGAGCCCTCAATACAACAATAAACAGGTAAAGATATCGCACACGGGAATTGTGATATCAATGACTGTGATCGATGCGATAAGGTAAAATAACCTAAATAGTATAACATTTTAGTGAATTAGAAATAGGTTTTAATAATAGCGAATTAGAAAATCATTTATTAAAAAAATGGCTTAAAGTTTTAAATCCCAGAAGCTGTTAAGCTTTAACGCCTGTTTTTAAACAAACTTTTACCATATTTTCGATTCAGAGTAGGAAAACCAGATAATAATTAATTAATTATTTCAGTATATTGAATATATAGTTACATCACCATCCACTCATAATACTGAAACTCGTAATAATTTCAATAATTATGAATTACCCACTACAAATTAACAAATTACAAAGTAACAAGGTCAATCATCACTTTCTTTCTTTTTATTTTTATACGCGTACCAACGTATGTTCGAAAGGTATACTAAATTTGCCTTACCGTTTGTAACGCTAAGAAATAACGCTCTTAGAAATAGAGTCAAGTGTATGTTTTTGATCAGCGTCGAATTCTGGGTTGATTTAGCCTTGTTTGTCCGTCCGTCCGTTCGTCCGTTCACCCCAACAATAACTCAAAAACTAATTGAGCTAAGTACACCAAATTTTCAAAAATGATTTGTTGTAGTAAGTTCCAGAACCCTATTAAAATTGGACATGATCGGAGTACCAGTTCCGGTAGCTGCCATACAACTCCAAAATTTATTTGGCAATATCTCAGAAACTATAAGAGCTGTGGTATTGTAATTTCACCCAAACGAATATATTAGTACGGCCAATGTGTCTTATAAAAGTCTTACTTGGCTCCTTCTGGTACCTGCCATACAACTCCAAAAGTTATTTGGCTATATCTCAGAAACTATAAGAGCTACGGTATTGAAATTTCACACAAGCGAACATATTAATAGGACCAATGTGTTTGATTAAAGTCGTTGAAATTGCTTGGCTCTTTCTGGGAACTGTCGTACAACTTCAATAGTAGTTTGGCCATATCTTAGAAAATATTGAAAACACAATACTGAAATATTCCATAAATTAATATGGCAACTTAAAATCATAGTCAGCAATGGCATATTTATTTGGATATAGGTTAACAAGTTCGTACGGGTATCACAGAGTTAACACGATCAACTTTATTTTTTCCTTTTTTTTTTTCTTTTATTAAGTTTGTTTTACGCTATCATTTACACGCTATTTTCAAACAAAATTTATTACGTAACGAGAAAAAACAGAGTAGACCTTGTCAACTCTGTGATACCCGTGCGAATTTGTTATCCTATGTGCGAATAAATATGCTGTAATTGACTATGGGACTGACTATGACTTTAAGTTGCCGTATTACCATATTAATTCCAGTATAGTGTTTTTCAAAATACTGTGTGTGCCAAAGTACTACTGAAGTTGTATGGCAGCTACCAGAAAGAGCCAAGCAATTTTAACGAATTTTATCTAACACATCGGTGTGAAATTTGAATACCATAGCTTTTATAGTTTCTGAGAGATAGCCAAATAACTTTTCGAAGTTGTATAGCAGGTACCAGAAGCAGCCAAGTAATTTCAACGACTTTTATCAGACGCATTGGCCCTACTAATATATTCGTTTGTGTGAAATTTCAATACCTTAGCTTTTATAGTTTCTGATATATAGCCAAATAAATTTTTAAGTTGCATGGCAGCTACCCGAACCGGTGCTCCGATAATGTCCAATTTAAATAGGGTTCTGCCACTTACTACAATAAATCATTTGTGAAAATTTGGTGAACTTAGCTCAATTAATTTTTGAGTTATCGTTGGGACGGACGGACGGACGAACAGACAAAGCTGAATCAACTCAGAATTTTTTCGACGCTTTTTGCATTTCGTTGTTACTATATTTTGAATTAAAAATATTCTTTCAACGTTTGCGGAGCATTGTAATTTTTCGATATACTTGAAACTAGTTTTGCTATCCTGCAAATATTTGAAGTCATAGGTTCAGCTAGTTCATTTTGAATTAAGTTAATGTTATGTAAAAAAGCTGTTATTTTAAGATTGTGAACAGATATGCCCGTGCTATTTTTCGAACGGGAATGTTATTATTCTGTATGAATTATTTTAATTTTGGCCATTTTGCAAACTAGAAATACAGCTTACACAATTGGCGGAATAACTTGACATTCGCGAGAAATTACAATATTTGGATCCAAAGTTTTTCCAAAGTTTTCTAGTAAACTGTCACTAATGTTAATTTTTGCTTGCAGAGTAGGATATTATAACAATATTAGTTAACTTGTTAAGTCTATACAGAATGCAAAATTTATATAACACGTATAAGTTTATATAAAATGTGCGTTCACCGTTATACTTATGTATATTCATACTAAACACATATAATTCTTCCACATCTTAAAGTAACAGCTCAAAACAATAAGGCTTGTCTAGATGAACTTTGTATTTTTCGTTTTAAAATTTAGTTCATGGTCATTAGAAAATATTACTTATTGATTGACAACAATGAGTACTGCAGATATGTAGATGCAATTTTTTATATTTTGCGAGTCAAAGGCTCATTACGAGTAAATGTCCTGTCCCACGAATATCTATTCCGGTTTTGAGGTTGTTAAAACTATAACAGTGAGTTGCTCAGAATTTTTTTTCTTAATTGATAGACCTACACAATGATTACCATTTTGCGTTTTTGAGTAAAAGTCATAAAACTTTTTAATGATTTAAGACATTTTTTTGATATTTTACTTTGTTAAAATTGTTAAGTTTGTATAAAATATTATTCAAAAATTTACTATTTAAAACTTAGAAACATACTCGTATGTACATATACATATAATTATCTCCAAAGTTGTGATAATTTCAAATAAACAGCATTATAATTGAAACTGATGTATTGATGTATTATAATCTGGTCTATTTAAACGATTATGATGACTTGAAACATGGCTTGAGAATTGTGAAGTTGTGTCATCTCCATGATTAGGTGAAGTTACTAGTAGGACCGGCTGTAGATTTAAAGATTTTCTTGAACCAAGGCTTATACCATCTTGAAATAAATGTAAAATATTTTTTGTAAATGATTTTTATGCTATTGATTTTATTATTACCTTTATAAGCTGAGCTTTGATACATTGGTTCTGGTTGGAGCCGAATATTTTTTGTTGCCAAAATAAATGCTAATGTAGCCAAAATTATAGCGTCAATGCAACCTAAAAATCAAATATGAAAAAGATCCAGATATTCAAAATATTTTTATTTAAATTAATGTAATTTATTTTAGAGAAAAGTAATGCGTAGGACAATACAAACAAGTTGCCTTTTTCGTTGCTTATATTGTATTTAGTACTATTAATGATTGCGTACGGTCACTTTAATTTTGATACTTTGAAATATGCCATTTTTATGTGAAAATATGAAATAAAAATATATCTCTCCTAATATATTTCATACTAACAACCATATGTAAGGAAATTAAATGTGTGTATAATTAAACCAATAAACCGAACATTAACGTAACCCTTACATACGTATATATTTACTTAACGTATACAATATTTACTCTTTTAAATATTGAAATATTTTAAATAATAAAATAGTAGACGTTACAAAATTTTTACACCGCAAATCAAAAACAAGTACATGTTTCCTTCAACAATTGGTAGAAAAATATAAGCATAAATTAAACTATTAATGATACAAAATAATTATTACAACAAAAGAAATACAACCTAAATTGAAACCTAAACATACACAAATAATTCGGACATATTTCATAATTTAAAGATAATTTGATATTAAAATTTCATCGTTAAAGTGACAGTAGAAGGAAAGAAGTAAGAAAAATTAATATATACATATATGCCATATACATCTATCAGGCCATCAAGCTCAGAGAGCAAATCAAAAATAAATTCTAAATTTATATGGAGTTTAAATGGAAGGGATATCGGAATTTATTTGTGTGAAGAAAATTAATTAATATTTTTGGGTGTACTGATGTTTCTAATTGATTTAAAATTTAAATTTCAAAAAAGTTGGTTGGTAAATTTCATCTGAAAAATGCATTTTAAAAAAATAAATTGCAATTTTTAGCGCAGACATAATTTCTTGTCTTCCGAATGGAAGGGTACTGAATTACAGAGTAAAATTTTTGAATAAAAATTGTATTTAAAAAGTAATTGAAAAAAAGCAAAAAAAATAGTTATTTTAATCTAGATGGCTTTTAAAACTATACTAAATAAAAAGAGAAACATAAAGAATACTCAAAAATTTCACAGAAAAAAAATATTTAAATTGCCATACTTCGAAAACATAAAACATTAAGAATTGTTTTTGCAATTTTTTCCGATTCAAAATTTCGGAAAATAATTTCCGCTTCATGGATATACTATATAGTAATATAGTATGTAATGGATATAATGGATATAGTGGCCTAATGGATATATATGGCATTAGTAAAACAAATATTTCACGAAACGGTTTTTATCACGAATTTTAAACAATAGCAATTTACCAACTTAAATAGCTTGTTTTTTTTTAAATTTTAATTGGAAGCATATGGTACAAAAGTATCGTGGCATTAACATGATATATACACAAGAAATAATTTTCCAAGCAATAAAATTGTTTAAGTCGAACAAAGCCTCAAGTTTTGATTATGGAATAACTTTGGATGTCAAACTAAGATGGGAAAAACACTAAAAGCAGACTAAAATAGTATCAGAAAACAAAAATAAGAAAATTATTTCCTCCTAGATCGTAGGTCTAAATTGAACATACAAAATTAAAGTAATGACATATAACCAAATAACAAAGCCTTTTCAACTATGAAGTAACTTTTAAAAACAAGGTCCTTCCCAATGTTGTCGGTACGTATGTGCACAATAGCGACATTCATAGGTATTTAAGTGTCCCCGAAGTAAGTGAATAAGTAGGGAACTGTGCCATTTAACAGCATATGACATAAAGGTCTCTCGACCTATAGAGGAGGGTGCTAGAAGAGAAAGACTGAAACGAGACCTTTCGATATAGCCTAAATTGCTGTGACAGCACTTTCATGCCTTGCTTTACGCAGACACTAAAATACAATAGAGCCAAACTAATGTTTAGCCAGTTTTAACAATTTTTTTTTTTTTCTACTAGGTGAAAAAATCTCAAAAAACGAAGAAGGACGGCTCTATCTGCCTCTCCTCCGACAGTGGGGGAGCGCGACTTCTACCCTAAAAAATCACCTAAATTCTGAATGGATAAAACTGGTCCTACAGGCCAACTATTACCTCCGCGCTAACTTGGTTTTTCCGTGCAGAAATTAAATACCTTCCATAAGGAAATTGGAATTTAACATTTCGTGTTAAATCGAATGGTCTTGTTCATTTAAGTCTTTCTGTCATAACGCCATTGTCTAGCAGCCGAGCTGCTTCCATATTTACATGCTGTTCTAGACGAGCCCTATGCTTTATAGCACAACTCCTAATTTCATCCACAACCAAAGGAATTCCTAAGAACCTGTGGATATCGCTGTTACGTATATACCATGGCGCATTTACCACGCCCCGTAGAACTTTATTGTGGAAGGTTTGAATTTTGTTAATGTGAGTCTTTGTGGCACAACCCCACAGCTGAATGTCACAACGCCATAAAGCAGGTACAACGTTGAGCCCAATATACTGCCTTGAGGCACACCTGCCTTTATTTCTCTTAGCGTGGAGTATTCAGCATCTTGTTTAATTCTAAATAATCTATCAGCTAAGTAAGATTCCAAAATTTCTACAAATGACGATGGTAACATTTGTCCTAACTTAAGTATAAGGCCCCTGTGCCACACCTTGTCGAATGCTTGTGCTACGTCTAGAAACATGGAAGAGCAGATTTCCCTATTTTCCAAGCCTTTTTCTATAATATTAGTTATTCTATGAACCTGGTCTATTGTAGAATGGTTTCTTCTAAAACCAAATTGATGGTTCGGTATTAGGCCCCTATTTTCTATTATTGGCTTCAATCTCCTTAATAGCAGCTTTTCAAAAAGCTTGGACATCGTTGGTAACAGTAAAATGGGCCTGTAAGACTTTGTTTCCCTCAAGGATTTCCCGGGTTTCGGCACCATAATTACCTCCGCAACTTTCCAAGCACATGGAACATACCTTAAATCCATAGCTGCATTCATGATTTGCGTCAGATGTTCCAATGTCTTGTCTGGTAGCTCTCTCAGTACTTCCGCAGTAATAAGATCAAAACCTGGTGATTTTTTCAACTTCAGGGATCTTATCTCTTTCGCGACCTCTAATTGAGTAAGTGGAGCTATGCTGTCTGCTTCATTTGCGATAGATTCTACCAAACCCACATCTGAGGTTATTCCGTTTGGCGTGAATATGTTTTCCAAGTGATCAGCAAACAATTCAGCCTTCTCTATATTGCTCCTCGCACAACTGCCATTTGCTTTCATCAGTGGCGGAGTGTGCCTAATCGGTCTCTTTTTGCTCCCTGCCGCCTTCCATAAGGACTAATTCGTTTCCCTCGTAGCTGACAGGTTCTTTATATAATATTCGTATGTTGCCGATTTAAATTCTTGGATTTTTCTTTTAAGCACCTGGGAAAGTCTGTTTAAAACAGTTTTATCATCAGGGTGACGCGAACGTTGCCATCTACGTCTGGCCCTTCTCTTTTCACCTACTAAATCAGTTATTTCTCGAGGATAACTATTTGCTGTCGGTTTGTACTTTGACATTTTTGTATTGTTCCATGCAGCTCTTTGTATGATTTTAATTAATCCTTCTAACTCCACATCTAATTGCTCTCTTGATTGTATATTAATATTTACGTCAATATTGTTTATTATTTCGTATCTAAAGCTCACCCAATCCGTAGTGCTATTTGTTAAACTGGGCCTAAATAATGTTTTAGTTACTTTTTCACTTAGTTTTAATATGACAGCAGAGTGATCTGAATTAAAATCATAGTTATCTTCAAGACTTAGAAAGTTTTCTGATATTTTTTTGGTTATAAAAAAGTCAATAACATCAGGAATCTTGTTAGTGTCAGTAGGCCAATAAGTAGGAGTGCCAGTGCAGTGATAGCAACAACTTAGCTCTTGAAAAGCTTTTCTTAGCTTTCTTCCTCTAGTTGAGGTGATTCTAGAACCACAATCTGTATGTTTGGCATTATAGTCACCTCCTATAAGATATCTGTGTCCATACTTGTACAGGAGATCTTTAAAAGTATTCTTCTTAATGCTGCAATTTGGTGGACAGTATACAGCACCAACACTAAAGTTCTGTTTAGTCGATTAAATTTTAATCGAAATATGCTGAATTTCAGCCGTTTCTATCTTGAATTCTTCATTATGTTCTATACTTTCTTTTATTAGTATTGCACTACCTCCTCTTGGCTGATTGCTGGGATGTACTGCTTTATAGCAATCATAGCCCTTTATTTTAAGGCTCGTATAATATGTCAAATGAGCCTCCGACAGCAAACAAATATCTATATTTCTCGTTTTGAGAAAGACCTCCAATTCTTGTTTCTTATTAAGAACACCATTAGCATTCTAAGTATACGTACCTCATTTACGTGCATCTTTTCTTAACTTCTTTTCTGTCCCCGTATACATCTCAGTGTATGCATTTTCTATTTTTATTAATCTTTTAGAGATCTCGTCAATTCTAATCAACATACTATGCATCATTTGCATAATGTCTGCGTCAGTTCTTTTTGTTTGTGGGGTTTTGTTCTCAGGTTCCTTCATTTTCTTTTTTTGTGGGGTTTTGCTTTGAAGCACTTGTGAATAAGATATTCCCTTTAACACCTTACTAGGTGCCGTCGTTCTATCTATTTTTGGAGTTCTTTGTTCATTAAATTTGATTTGGTTTTGTTTGGTCTTATTCTTTTTCAATCTTCTTTTTTGCAATTCTTTTGCAACCAAACAACCTCGATAGTCAACCTCGAATTGCAGTTCGCACATTTGGGCTGAAAATTATCCTTCTTTTTGCACTCCGCTGTCATATGATTACCAGCACATTTTACACTTCTAGCCTCTCTTTGGCAAAACTTTTGTGTGTATCCAAATCTGTGGCATCTCTTGCATTGAGGAATGGATTTGCTGCTTCTAAGAGCTTCAATTTTTACTCTCTTGTGCTGTAAGTATTCTATTTTATAGATCTTGTTTATCTCTTCCGAATGGTCAAAAGATAACATAAAGAGCGGAAGTTTTACT